AGGCGCGAGAGAGAGATGTGAGGGAGTTGAGAGTGATAAATTAGGGTTAGGGTTTTAATATATTACCTGATTTTTGAATAATGAAACTCGGTCCCTGATTTTTGAATTTCAATCTTCAAACCCCTGGAATTATGTAATTTCCCGCGCTATTAATTCTTTTTATAAACAGGCTGCAAAGATGGGCTTGACCATTGGGTTTGTGAGAGCAGAGAATTATTTTTTTACAGGGACTTACGTAAATATTCTATATTTTGGGGTAGTTCTGAAAAATTATGATAAACTTAGATTAAATGACAAATAGTTAAAATTGAATGCATATTTTTAGATCAAACCTAATGCACGACATTTTATAAAAAATCCGCCGTCCAAACTTGAAAAATCAAAGGAAAATCGAAAGGAAAATGATGAAATCTTCCACAAATCAAGCACAAACAAGATCAAGGTTGCATAAATTACCATTCTTCAGAGTCCTCTTCCCCAAATCTAGAAATACCTAAACACAAGTTACAGGTTTTTTAAATTTTGAATTTTTTGTTTAATTAGTTCCCTAATTTTGTCATTTTGCATAGATTATGAAAGCAATAGTCGTAAATATCAATTTCGAGCTAAATAAACTCACTTACAAATTCCAATCATCTTAGTACATTATCTATGTCACTTTTCTTTGAATTTCATGATTGGTTTAGTTTGAACCTTATAATGTAAATAATGGACATTTATGAAGTTTCTTTTTTGATGGTTTTGCTATTAGAACTAAAAAAATATTTGAAAATAATATTGTTGATATTGAGAGGAAATGGATTGGGTTAATACATATGAAAAAGAAGACTTTGAATCATTTCAATTGATGTATGCAAAGTGTTTGTAAAAAGAAGAATGTGAAAAATGGCATTCTGTCACCTTTCTATGAAAAAGTAACTTTTTGTCACTTTTATTTATAAAAAAATTTTAGTATCACATTGGAACAATTAGCTGGATGCATATATTTGTATTTTTGAAAATTTAAATATATGAATTTAAACATTATTTTACATTAATAAATATGAAAATTTAACTCTAAATTAATTCAATTGATGTATGCAAGTTGTTTGTAAAAAGAAAAATGTGAAAAAAAAAATGATATTTTCTCTCTTTTCTATTCAAAATTTGACACTTTTTATTTAAAAAAGTCATAGTCTCTCATTGGAGCACTTACCTACATGCATGCGTGTGTGTGTTTTTGAAAATTTAAATATATCAATTCAAACCTTGTTTTACATTAATAAATATGAAAAATTAACTTTGAATCAATTCAATTGATGCATGCAAGGTGTTTTTGCAAAAAAAAAAAATAATAATAATAAATAAAATAAAATTGAAAAAGTGACATTCTATTATTTTTATCTAATCAAAGTCACAGTATTTCATCGAAATAATTAACTAGATATATAGGTGTGCATTTTTTAAAATTTAAATATGCTAATTCAAATCTCGTTTTACATTTAAAAATGACATGATGTAACACTTTATTTTTATTTTTGTATATGAGTTATTTTGTTGAAAATTAAAAGTTACAATCTTTCACTTTTTTTAAAAAAAAAAGTCTCACACGATTTCTTTGAAATATTTTTGTAGGTATAAATAGAAGTAATGTCTTTATTTATTATGGAGGCAAATAGAGATAAAATAATAAATATATAAGTGATAGGAATTATTTTCCTAATAGATTGCACATACAACAACCCTGAGAGCATAATATTTTCTGTGATGAAATTAATTGAAGTAACACACAAAATAAAAATATAATGTAGAGTGAAGAAAAACCTGCATTTAATGGAGATTTTAGATGATATTTCTCTAATATTTTATTTGAAGCTCAAGATAAATGATAAATCTTGTAAGCTTTTCATTGTGCGTAGATGTGACAATGGTATAAAAATAATCACGAAACTAAATTTAATGATAAGATACAATGTTTGGAGGTTGCTGCTTTTGAAGGTAATGATATGATGTACATACAATTTTGTAAATTTGTAACTAATAATTACGTGACATCAGTTCAAAAATTACCTAATATCGAAGAAATTGTTGTTGATGTATAAAATAGTATTTATGGAGTTAAAGAAATGACGAATGAAGGAAGAAGTAATATCATTTCAGTTGTCACTATGGATGAGATTGTAGAAGATAAATTGTTCAAAAATAAGACATTAGTTAAGAGAAGTACTTCAATATACACGATACACAATAACTTTTAATTCAAGACAATTAAGTCGAACAAAAAAAAAGTGTTGAAGTGTATGGATGATAAGTGCAAATGGACTTTTAGAATTTCAAGACTTGAAGGAACAAATATGTTCAAGGTAAGACATATTAAATGTGATCATAGATGCCCAGACAACATCATTTTAGGATATCATCGTCAAGCAACAAGCACAATAGTAGAAGAATTTATCATGTAGAAGTATATCTCAACAAAAATAAAATGTACTCTCGTAAACATTATAAGTGACATGATGAATACATATAGAGCATCAATGAGTTATAAAAAAGCTTAGAGATCTAAGGAGAAATCATTTGAATTTGTGAGAGGCGATCCAACAGAGTCATATAAAAAGCTTATGGAATACTTATATATGATATAACAAACAAATCTCGGACAGTTACAAAAATTGAGACATATCAGGACAACAAACTCAATTACCTCTTCATGGCGTTAGAAGCGTCTATTCAAGAGTTGAAGTATTGTAGGCCAATTATAGTTATAGATGTTACATTTCTTAAAAGACAACCATTGCGGAATACTTTTCACCCCACGAAATCAAGGTAACAACAACAATATCTTCATATTAGCATCCGAAGTTGGTGATTTAGAAACTAACAATTCATGGGAATAATTCTTAATTATGTTAAAAGAAGTGTATGGTAAGCGAGAAAAACTGTGTATGATTTCGAATGGACGTGCAAATATAAAAAATGCAATTCATAAAGTCCATTCGAGAATAGTTTGAAGGCCAGTAATCTCGAATGGACATACAAGCTTAATTTTTGAAGGTCAGTTTATGAATTCCATTTTTTATACTTGTATGTCCATCTGAGATTATACACGATTCTTCTCGCTCATCATAAACATCTTTTAACATAATTAAAAATCAATCCCATGAATCACCAACTCAAAATGCTAATATGAAGATATTGTTGTTGGCACCTTGCGTACATACGATGAAAAGTGTTCTGCCATAGTTGCATTTTAAGAATGTAGCATA